CCCTGTTGCTGGCACTACTCCTCCGCTACTGTTTCCACCACCTGACCTGTCTCAGCCACAGCTACTGCCTCACTCCCCACTGCCTGCTCCTGCTCCTTACACTGTGGTTACAGAGTCCCTCACTGAGAGTAGAGAGCCTACGTCGCGTCCTGTCACGCCTGTCCGTCCTCGCCGTGCTGTGCGTCCTCGTCCTCCACCTGTCCCTGGCACGCACACCATGGCACTTCGTCCTTCCTCTGTTCCACAGCATGTTGTCCTGCCGTCGCCTCCCGCGTCTTCTCTTCCTCATATTCCTGACCCTGAGTCTGACCTTGTCTGTACTGCCAGTCCGACTGTCACTCGTCTTCTTGCCACGGTTGTGACTGACCCTTCCTTTGAGTCTGCTGCAGCGTCTACCTTAGTTGCTGAGCTTGTTGACTTTGCTGCTTTGTGCCGCCTTGACCACGCTGCGAGTCTTTTTTTTTTACTCTTCCTGTCCTCCGTCCGTCGGGGGTGAGCTTGCCCTTGGCTGTGACGTCCTTGAGGACAGGCAGTTTGAGCTGGAGTGCCTAGCAGCCGCTTCACCTCATCTCACGTCCACGCTACTTTGCCCTGAGGGAGACCCGGATGCGCTGGACATCCTGACCATGCGTTCCTACGCAGACTAGATCACGGGTCCGTACTCCTCTAAGTGGCAGATAGCCGTGGACCCAGAGATGGCTTCCTGGAAGTCCACAGGCACCTACGTCGACGCAGTTCCCCCACATGGGGCGAACATGGTCGATGGCATGTGGATTTTCAAGGTGAAGCGGCCACCGGGTTCTCCGCCTGCCTTCAAGGCGCATTACGTTGCTCGAAGCTTCAGTCAGCGTGAGGGAGTCGACTTCTTCCATACCTTCTCCCCCACCCCGCACATGACCACTCTTCGGGTGCTATTGGATGTTGCAGCTCAGCGTGACTACGAGTTGCATTCCCTCGACTTCTCGACAACTTTCTTGCAGGGCAGCCTTCACGAGGCTGTCTGGTTGTGCCACCCACCTGGCTTCACTGGGTCGTCTTCTGAGGGTACCCAGTGGAGTCTCCGGCGACCAGTCTACGGTCTGCGTCAGGCGCCCCATGAGTGGAACGATACACTGAGGACAACAGTTGCGGCTCTTGGTTTCGCTCCCTCGACTGCTGACCCTTCACTGTTTCTGCATACTGACACTTCTCTGCCGCCGTTCTACGTTCTTGTGTACGTCGACGACTTGGTTTTTGCTACTGCTGACACTGAGGAACTGGCCCTATTGAAGGCAGTGCTGCAGGAGAGACACACTTGCACTGACCTGGGTGAGTTGCGGAGCTATCTTGGCTTGCAGATCACCCGGGACAGAGCACGGCACACCATCACCCTGACTCATTCACACATGGTGCAGCAGGTCCTTAGCGCTTCGGCTTCGAGTTCTCCTCGCCACAGTTCACTCCTCTGCCTACAGGCCACTCGCTCTCAGCTCCACCTTCGGACGAGTCCGTAGAGCCGAGTGGTCCGTATCCATAGCTTGTGGGTTGCCTCACGTACCTGATGACGTGAACACGACCTGACCTCGCGTACCCTCTCAGCCTTCTGGCTCGCTACGTGGCTCCCAGTAGACACAGAAAGGTGCACTGGGAAGCTGCGAAGAGGATACTACGTTACTTGTGCAGTACATCGGGCATGGGGCTTGTGCTTGGAGGACATGGTTCAGTTGTTCTCACTGGTCACTCAGACGCTTCTTGGGCTGACGACCAGACGACTCACCGGTCGACACAGGGTTACAGTTTCAGCCTCAGCACTAGTTCTGTCTCGTGGAGGTCCACTCGCTCGTCTTCTGTACTTTGTTCCAGCTGTGAGGCCGAGATCTACGCTGGGGCTATGGCTGCACAGGAGCTCCGTTGGCTGACCTACTTGCTGACCGACTTGGGTGAGCAGCCTCGTTCTCCTCCAGTTCTGTACGTCGACAACAAGGCCATGATTGCCTTGTGTCAGGACCAGAGACTGGAGCACAAAACGAAGCACATTGCTCTTCGTTACTTCCTCACGCGAGAGCTGCAGCAGCATGGTCAGCTTCGTCTTGCTTACGTGGCCACACAGGCCAACACTGCTGATGTCTTCACTACGGCCCTTGGGTCTGGTGATCATCAGCGTTTCTGCACTGCTCTCTTGTGCACACTCTGTCTCACCTGCTTGTCTCTTGATCTTGCCTTGCCCTTGTTGTACACTGATATATACGAGTATACCTGCATGCTTACACTTGCTAGGTTGTGATCAGTGTACTGCTCTTGCTATTACAAACTCTGCATGTGAAATGGCCTTGTGGCCACTTGCTTGTGCTCGGAATGCATGGTGATCTTGAGATCCACCCTGAGCTTTGCTTTGCTTTCCTTCTGACTGGTCTTGTGACCATTGCTTGCTCTGGCTATCCTCCACTTTGCCTATGGGGGTGTGTCAAATCATATGTTTGTATGTTTCATTAGGTTGTAGTGGGTTTAGTCCTAGGGGGTACACTAATTTTCTCGACATCCTTCTTGTACCCCTCCCTTTGACCTAGTCCACCCTATTCCTCCTTTAACACACCTCGTGCTGTTTGCTTTTCACACGTTCTAGCACTCCTCTGCCACCTCGGAGGTGTATCGGGACGAAAGTGCGTGGAACCTTCGTCCCGATAAACTCGCATTCAAAGCTCACCATACTCGGCTAAGACATGGTTCACTAAATATAAGTCTGATACACTATACACAAGAACAGGGATGAAAAAACTATTACTCTGAAGCACTCATGCCCCAAAATCCAAGGGTGCTTTACCCTTTCCACCCTTGCTATGGGCCGCTTTTCCAGGATTGCCCTGATTTTGTACGTGTATTTACCTAACGACTCTGATTGTAAAAGTGTACTTGTTTTAAAACACTTTGAAAATTCAGGCCTTCCCGTGTTTTCCCCTGACTCGTGAGGGTACTTTTTGAAATACACCGAAACATACTTTCTTCGTGTCGTTTCTGTACAACAGGCCCCATGTGGTTATTCAACCGAGAAGGTTACAAAACCGGCCCCAGCAGTCAATGTCACGCTGTCAGCTCGACAAAACGAGGAAATGACGGACCGCGGTGCTTTCTCATCTCCAATTCCAACGGGCAGTGGTTTTCCCAGGGCCCCTGCCACGCGATCGCGCCCGATTCCCGCCGTCAGTTTTCCCCATCAACACAACATTTAGTACAGTTTTTTTGTTTTCGTGGGCAGGCCCAAATTTAACGTAAATGTTGCACACACTCATTACATCTTGTTCTTATCGGTGCGTTGTAAACCACAGGTGTTCTGCGGCAACTGCAATCATGACCCTGCTCTGGAAATATCTTGATTGTTCACGCGTGCTCGATTCTGTTGTAGTTTCAGTCAACGCCCCTCAATCTCAGGGTTCCATTCAATAAGAACGTGCCACGTTGTACTAAACTTGGCGGATTAAGCACCGTTGCATGCACGCGAACAACGGCCTGTCTCTTCATGGTCCTTGCGTCACGTCGACTACTCCCCCGTCAACGGGTAGTGATTACGCAGTCACCATTCCGCCGTGGGTCTCTAGTGAACCTAGGGTTTTAGGGTCTATGAGTAGCTACCATTGTTTCTCTTATTTTCAGCTCGACTAGTCAGCTAGCATAGCATACTCCTGTCCACCCTTTCCAAACCATCCGCCTTTGCTAGATTCACCAAGTGGTTAGTAGGTGACCGTACGATGACGCAGCCTAGACAGTCTTCACGCCTCAAGGGCCAATAACCAGTTAGTAGTCAGACCGGCGTCACGCGAGGGAAACGAACAGCCTGGGGCAGGCAGGATGCGAGCGAAAGTGTGCCGGCTCCGAGCCCTGAATTTAGGGTCCCGTTTAAAGTAGAAGGCGTAGAAGTGCTGCCTGAGCCCGACGACATAATTTCAAGGTTCGCGAAGGGTGTCAGAGTTCCAGAATGCGTGACCTATAAGCTCCCTAGATCTGTTAAGAGTGCCCATTTCCCATCTCCTGAGATAAAGAGTCATCTTGGCCAGAGAGCGAAGGTGACAATCATGGATGCCCTCCACATACAGGACAGGGAGGAGCTGACAACCTCAACCATCGACTTTCACAACGTGTAAGTCTGGTTCTTTTTGTGGCGTTTATTACTTACTCATCGCCTTCATCTTAATGGTCTGTTGTGTTCGTATTGTTTCAGGGTGTTAAGCCTTCTTCACAAGCAGCTTGATGACGGAAAAACTTGGTTGGCGCTTGACACTCTCGCCTACCAAACCGTCACCGGGGGACAGGAGCTTGCATGCGGAGTTGAGTGCAAAACTCTGTTCGAACACGACTACGTTTGCATCGCCGTTTTCACCAAGTAAGTCAGACCTCCATTTCTAAAGGAGTGTTACAGCGCTCATGTTTAATGTTCTGCGATGTATTCCTTTGTTGTGTGCATGACCTGACTTGCGCTGCTTTGGTTCTCGGCAGAGTTCCAGTACATCATTTCAGCCTTGTCATTGTTAGGGACCCCCATCTGCTGCTGCTAAGGAAGGAGGAATACCAGGCCAAGACGCCACAAGAACCAGTTCACGCTGTTCTCTACGACTCCGCACGCGTCCACTTCAACATGTGCGAAGCTGTGTTTAGGGACGTCAACGAGTAAGTTTAGGGTTTGGCGTCATCATTAGGGGCCTATCTAACATCTTTCGTGCACAAGTTGGACCTCGGTTGTATAACCCCTTTCCTCGTAACCCATCCGCAGGCTTCTTGGGCGGGCCCTTAAAAAAGCCTTTCCTGATCTGACATGGGTAGAAGTGACATAGAGGCTCACACGCATGAGCAGCCGAGCGCTTAAGGTGAGTTTCCTATTTTGGTGTTTAGTGGCCCGCTGCATGTAACAACCACAACACGGTCTATCATGTTTGACCTGAGTGTGCTTTCCTTTATTGTGCTCTTCTGTATTGCAGTACTTCGAGGTACCCCAACAAGAGAACGACGTGGACTGCGGAGTCTACGTTTGCATGTTCATCAAGGAGCTTGTTCAGCGCTGCTTCCGATTCATGGAGGAAGGGATCGCCCATCCCCGTTATAGTGCCGCTCACTGCAGGCGCCAAATCCGTGCTCAGATGTGCGAGGCCGGCGAACGCACTCTGTTGGAATCGCTGAAAATCAAGGGGGCAGATATTCCACCACAAAGTGAGCAGCGGGGAGGTGATGACAGTGACAGCGACGCTGTTGTTGAGGTCCAAGGGGAGATTACGCTTACAGATCTAGCAGCGGAGCAGGGTATCCATTCTGCACAGATCAAGAACCTGTGGCAAGACGTAGATGGCCTGAAGGACGCTGTTTTCAAGGGTGGGGAGGGACTCGTCAAAGTGACAACGACTGTGTCAACACTCTTCACCGCCTTTCAGCAGTTCGCTGCCAAGCTAGGGTTTAAGCTGCCGATGGGTGCCCTGGAGGGTTTGAACATGCATGAAGCCGCCGACTCCACTGCTGCAGCCCCACCGCCGGCTCAAACGGTCGAAGCATCAGCACCAGCAGCTGGTACAAAGAGAGGTGCTCCCCACCCGTCTGCTGGTGGTCCGTCACATGCGCGTCTACCTATTCCCGCAATGATCCCCTGGTGATGTGCCAGCCCAAGGAGCCCCATCCGGTGCACAAACGTCTGCGGCGGGTCACACCGGTATAGCAGCCGCAGCTTCCTCCTCCGCGGCCGGTCGGCCGGTTGCTGCAGCATGTGTTACAAGGGTAGTAGCGGGTCAGCCAAGTGCATCTGCTGGTGCTCCTGCTGTTCCAGGTCAGCCAGGTGCCTCTGCTGCTGCTCCTCCAGCTGGACCGGGTCGGCCAGGTGCCTCTACCGGCGCTCCTCCAGCTGGAGCGGGTCAGCCAGGTGCCTCTGCCGGTGCTCCTCCAGCTGGAGCAGGTCAGCCAGGTGCCTCTGCCGCTGCTCCTCCAGCTGGAGCGGGTCAGCCAGGTGCCTCTGCCGGTGCTCCTCCACCTGGAGAGGCACAGCCAGGTGCAGCATCCGGAATTCCAACATCAGCAGCGTGTCAGCCAGGTGCAGCAGCCGGTGTTACTACAACAGCGGCGGGTCAGACAGGTGCAGCAGCTGGTGTTCCTACAGCAGCGGCGGGTCAGACAGGTGCAGCAGCTGGTGTTCCTACAGCAGCGGCTGGTCAGACAGGTGCAGCAGCCGGTGTTCCTATGGCAGCGACGGGTCAGACAGGTGCAGCAGCTGGTGTTCCTACAACAGCGGCGGGTCAGACAGGTGCAGCAGCCGGTGTTCCTATGGCAGCGACGGGTCAGACAGGTGCAGCAGCTGGTGTTCCTACAGTAGCGGCGGGTCAGACAGGTGCAGAAGCCGGTGTTCCTACAGCAGCAGCGGTTCATCCAGGTGCTGCAGCCGTTGCTCCGACGACAACGCAGGCGCTGCCAGGCGCGACCGCGTGGGATTCAATGGCATATGAGGGTCAGCAAGGGCCCTCAACGAGCGCTACATACGACACATGCTCGGGTGCCGCCAAGAAAACAACAGATGTGCATCACCTGGGACTACGAGTCCCCAGTGGAGCAACTGTGCCTCATCAGGAATCGCATGCACCGCCTGCTTCGACTGTGTGGGCCCCTGGACTAGAGGCACGGGTTCAAGCTGCCACGGGGTGGCCTATCAACGCAGCTGTGGTTCAGCCAAGAAACGATGCCTGGGATATAGGGGGACCGCACACGGATCTCACCATATTTCATCCAGGTGTGCTGGTCCAGGGTGCTGTACGGTCGGAAGCGGCCGATGAGACTGCAAGGGCAGTTGTTGTTCAAACGGGTTCCTCTGCTTGGTCCTCAGGCAAGCCGTTTTTTGCTCCCTCTGCCTTTCCACCCGGGGTGCATATCCAGGGAGCACGACCACCATGTGCGGTGGGGTATGCTCCACATGCAGGTGGTGTTCAGCCGGTCGCCACTGCAGCCGCCGCGCCATCAGGGCTGATTGGCCATGCTCTGCAACCTCGGAACGTGCTTTACCTCGGATCTGGACAGCCGCACGCGTCCGTGCAACTGCCGTTGTCGTCGCATCGCCCCCTGGTGCATGATTCTACTGCTTTCCTCGTATCTGATGAGGCGCTTGACAATGTCAGCGGGCTACGTAGGCACACATCAGCCTCTCATGGTCGGACTCTATCGAGCATCCTCTCCGGTTTTGTGCAGGGGTCCCAACCCGTTATGCCCTCCCCAGCAGCCTCCACATCTATGATCCCCTCGACCCAGGGAGGCGAGAACGAGGAGGAGGCAACCTCAAGGAGGTTCACGGGAGTCATAAAGAAGAAGGACAAGGACGAGTGAATCGCAAGGATCGTCCTGGACTGCTCAACACAATCACTGATTGTCATCAACAGCCACTTTGTATCCGAAGTCGAGGAGGCAAGGTCAATTGCCGCAGCGTCTCATGTGATGTTCATTGACAATCCGACACGAGGGGATCTCATACCCTTGACTGCCGACGACAGGGCAAAGCTTTGAGGGTGTACGGCTGAACAATGTGAGGTTATGGTCCGAATGAAGTTATGGCACATGTGGGAGGAGTGGAGGGTGTATTGGCCGGCAGCAAAGGCAAAGTATGACGAGAAAGTGCGCAGGGCAGATCGTAAGAGAGCGGCACTGGCCAAGAGTTTGGGTGAGACTGATGATCGGCGCGACAAAATGGCCAGAACGGGAGGTGATGGAATTTCTGGAGCGGAGACCTCAAATAACCAGGAGGGTTCAGGATCAAAGGATGCATAGGGCAACGCATGCTGACTGGAAGGGGGAGTGTTTTGGGACCCGTGATCATTGTACTTCAGGCTTTTCTACCTCACGGGTCAGACTGTGTGTATATTTCAATTCAAGTGTGTATACCAGGGTTTAGCATTGTGTTTAGTTTGCCATAATACTCCATTACTGCTACTCATGCAAGTTTAGAAGACCGGAGTTTTGGGTCCTCGCGGGTTTCAAACGCTGGCAGATTTGAAGAACAACCAATTAGGGCATGCCGTGTGTGAAGACCACGCGAACGCCTTGTGAATGGTCCGTGAACAGGACAGTGCCAACTACTATGAACCAGTGTATGTCAAGTGTACCAATCGGGAAAACCGCATGACTAGGGCCGTGACGATTGACGCTTGCATCACGGACAACTAACGCATCACTTACGACATTCCATCGCATCATCTGTGTGCACTCCTCTAACACCCCGTGAAAAATCCATGACCTCTCCATCGTTTCCATGGCGTGTGCCTTGTAAAAGGGTTGTGAATGTTACCGCCATACGACTCACCAGGTGATGTATCAACCGCCGAGGCGGACCCGTTTCCCGAAGCACTCAACCGTCTCGAACGTAATGGTATACAACACTTGTTATTTTATTTGACAATCTTATTACCAACAACATATAGTGGGAACAAACGAATTCCAACAAACACCCAGCGAACCATCCTTGCGATTGTACGTACAGTGACATGGCACACAGTCGTTGTAGCACTATCATATCTTTCCTTTTAACCGCAATTAGCTATAAATATTAACAATTCTTCCAATACCTTTTTCTCTTTATTAATTAACTGCTGTAAAAAGGCAGCAACAACATTTGGTATCTGTTATTTGTCCCAATACATATAAATGTCTCACTTCACTTCATTCAATGTTTGAGATGATATTCATTTGACCACATGGGCAGGGTTTGTGTTTTGGCAACAATTTTGAAGTTTTGCATATGACATTAATCCTTCAACAAATTACTTGTAGAAATTCGGGACTTCGAAAAAAGCAATCCGTACAACTCCTCAACGACATGCCTGCAACGCAGCAGTGTGCAGTCCGCGTAACCCCCGTGAGGGGATCGTGGGATGTGATAGCTAGCAAAGATCGCCTCACGCGATACTCACCAAAAACACACCACCATCCCGCAAGTCTGCAGTATGCAGTCGGTAACCACCAGTGACGAACGTCTGTGAGAATTCAGTCGATGCCACGTATGTGGCCCGTTTGTACGTGGGTGCTACCTCGTGCACCGTACGTGTTCAACCCACGTGTTACGGGTCTTCAAGCAGTGGGTGCATCGTAAATGCTTCGCCACACACTCACCATACCGACCTACACTCGCTTAGTCGCCCGCCACGTATAAGTAAGACACGAGGAAAAGCCTAGTAATTGCTAAGCCAGGAAATACTAAACGACAAGTGTAGCCCTGGTGGATAATCTCGCCGTGATTGAACCGATGAGTCTGTTGTGTAAACATCGTGGTAGCTTCATAGACATCGTGGTAGCTTCATAGACAACTCACCATCCCGTAACGAAATCTCGCCACTCAACTGACCATGACTAACTCATCTTAACGAATTATCCCGTAAACGACCACAACTTTTCTGCCATCCGCTACATGCGACGGGGAGGTTTGTTACCAGCATGCCAGTTACGAGCCGTGTGCTACACTCAATGTAATCACGTTTCCATGTGAAATACACAATTTCATATGAGGTATAGCCTAGAGGGGCCCACTACACCCGCGATGCGTCACTCTCAGTCACCCAGTTTAGAGAGAATGACCAGTTGGGCCGATTGACTCTTCATCGAGGAATGCGTACATGCGTCTACACGTCTAAGGCAAGTCGTTTTATAAGTGATTGTTAGACCGTTAGCATAATGGAATGTATAGATTAGAGTACATGGCTAGCTAGATCTATTTTTTACAAGGTGTTTCGCCCATTTAACCAACATTGTTTTTTATAGTCACCATGCACAAGGTTCCTACCACGTGTCTTCCGCTTCCAAACTCCCTTACCATCCGATCCTCTCTAAGATACTCACTCTCACTAAACGTGCATGTATACCGCGCAGTTTCATTTTACGATGTATCATACTAAAAAAAAAAAAAAGTGGGATCCGACTAGACGTTAAGAATCCTGCAACGAAGTGTTAATCATGGGCAAGGTAATCTATGGAATAGACAAGGGCAATCTCATTGTATCGTGGAACATTGGGTGTGACCACATAGGCCATCCCTTACGCAGCCAAATACAAATATGTTCGTAAAATTATCTCCCATTGCAACCATTGGACTTGTACTTGGCTAGTTGGCCGTCTTAACTCTTAGATGCACTTGTAGAAGCCCATCTTTGACGCACCTAAACCATATATGCAAGAGATTATAGCCATCTGGCCATGAAACTACCTGCATACAAGTTTAGGGAGTATGTTGGGAGATTTTAAACCATATAATCAAATAGTTGGGATTTTTTTACGATGTACGAATTTTAAGAAACACTGGCTTGTTCGTGATCTTGAAGGCGCTCTGGTTGTCTCAGTCATGGCGAAAGGTAGGCGAAGTGGGAATTTTTGCATCTTATTGCAAGAATCCATCTTGTTTCAACCATGAGATTTATTGTAGCTACAATGCAAACACAATCGTTTAAATTATAGTGGGGAATACGCAACAGCCTAAACCCCCTAAACCATTGTGGAAAATTTATAGATTGTTTACAACGTTGCCTACTGATACATTGCGTTTTTCAGTTAAGGTGTGACGCGTTGGTAGTGAACCATCGAGAATGCCTATGTTAACCTTTTCGGTTATTCCGACAACAAATCCCTAAACCCCATCATATCATATGGTAACATTTGCTATCAACATAACCAATTGGTAGTTCACCTCTGCTATAATGTAAGGGTATACAATAGTCATTTTCTTCCAGACAGTCCGTTTGGTAAATCATTCATGCTAAAATTCATTACGTTTGCAACGTAATGTTTCTTGATGGTAAGTGCTTACTTGCGATATTTCGCGTGTGCACCATGCACATAGTTTTACCCGACCGCTGATTACTAATATTGTCGCGTATTTTACAGCAATCCCCCGTCAAGTGATGACGGATCATCAATCTTCTTATTCGCTAGGACTGTGAACCCAATGGTCTCAAGCCTATACGTGGACGCCACATGGCCACCTTGACAGAATGGATTGGTTCGGTACCTTTCTGGTAGTTCGCTGTCCCATCACAAGCATTTGGTGAACGTCCCGTCATATGTCATATTAGAGACCACCAGTCTATCATATTTGCAGTAGTCAATACCTCCAATAGTTAGCTTACGAGCCCGCCAACCGTAGTAGTTGTAGTTCTCATCTAGGACCTCTCCCTTGTCCATTTTAAAGTGCTTTCATCAGGTCTAATATGGCGTCTCGGAAAAGCGGGCGATTGAGTGGAGCGAAACGTGATCCAGTCTCTTCCAATCAATCGTCTTCGCCCGCACTTAAGTTCGAGGTCCCCGTAACAGCTGTAGTGGAGAAACAGCCCCCCGAACCCGAAGACGTAGTGGCCATATTCGCGAAATCCATGCCTGTGCCATCTTTGGGTAACGTAGTACTTCCACCCACGTTGACGAGCGAGCACTTTCCAATGCCATTGATCACGAATCAGATTGGGCAGAGTGGCAACGTGAAGATGGTTGATGCTCTTGGCATTCGAGACGGTTTTGAGATTCCGCCGACAACCATTGACTTCCACATCGTGTGAGTAGTCTATGCGCTTCCGTATGTCTTGGTGCGACGAAAATTTCGGTGCTAATGGATTTCCCCAATTTCACGCAGCGTTCTGAGCATCATGCACTCTCTGCTACCAACGGGGAAGACTTGGGTTGCACTGGCAACCCCAGCGTACCAGTCGGCGTGTAGCGAGCATCTCATGTGTGGCATCCGACATGAGTCCTTGTTCAAACACGACTACGTTTGCATAGTGGTATTATCCGAGTGAGTATGGCTTGTTTAGCATGTCGGGATCAGTAGGGAATGTACCCATGCACATGTTTCTCATATTGACTCGATGTGTCAGGTACCCTCGGCCAAAAAACGCAAGCCTGGTCGTCGTGAGGGACCCTGGATCGCTGTTGAAGTCTGATGAAGAGCTTAATGCACAAGGGGCTGAGTGTCCACTGGCTGTGCTCTTCGATTCAACTCGGATCCACGTCGCCATGTCTCGCGATGTCTTCCGACACATCAACTGGTGAGTCCTGGCGCCCTTCCAACGATGCGTTTATTGTCTTTTAACCACATGATGAGACTCTTAAGACGATGTGCTAACGTTTGACCTAGCACACGATTGCAGGCTTTTGGGAGCGGCGCTGACACAGGCTTCGCCCGGCCTCAAGGCGGCCGAGGTGACCAATCGTCTCCGTCGCATCCGCAGTCGGGCACTGCTCGTAAGTGAACCAGCATATAGCATACGAGCAACCCACAGTTCCACGATGTGTAACACCGTTTGGACCACCCATCCATACATTGTTGACGAGTGGGTCGTTTACATGTGCAGGCCAGC